AACACAGAGACTAAGAGGGTTTAAATACTGTGTGTCTCTACAAACCCTTTGTCATCTTATGCCCACATTGACTCATGTACCTGAGGTGTGCAAGAATGGAGATAATGAACACAAAAACTGGAAATAGCTGCACCTGTCTGAGAGCTCAGTGGCTCTTACTAATGGCATTAAGATTACCTGCTTACTTTTCCTTTCAATTTGTAGTTAAGTGAACTCTCAGTGTTGTTCAGAGTGAAGTGCTATTCATTTTCACCACCTGCTGGGATTTTAAAAGTTTCAGGATCTGTTTGAGCTGCTTATAGCTGAGGCTTGCGGGCTCTGGGATTTGGCATGAATGACAAAAGTAACGAAAGTTTGGGTAAGTGGTGGTCATTTGGCAGAGCTCCTTATTGTATTCTGCTTCCCTGAACAAGCCGTCGGGCACATTCCCTCTGTTGAATAAGGACTTAATTATCTAAGTTACAGATTCAGACTGACTGCATTTATCAGGCATCCTGGAGAGGGTGTCTGTTATCACTGCGGACCCCTTCTTTTCCTCAGGGCATCCCCTGGGCGCCGTCCTGTACACTAAATTGACTTCCTGTCTGATCCCACATTTAAATGGAAGGCGGTGGGCAGAGTGCAGTCTCCTGCCAACACTGAACAACTGTGCGACTTGAAAAATAAAAAAAGTTAATCTTCAAACAACAAAAAAAAAAAAAAATACAGAATACAAAAGTTAATTTACTGTGGGGTCCAGTGTGTAACATTGAGGAGGATCTATTGGCACAAATGGAATATAATATTAATTTGTTTTCATTAGTGTATAATCACCTGAAAATATCCCAGGACTCCACTACATGTCATTAAATCCTACACAATGGTCCTTTAAATGTAATCCAGATCTTTTTGAAACTTAAAGGACTAGTTCGACATTATGGGAAACATGCTTTTTGCTTTCAGGAAGAAAGTTACATATGAGGATTGATACCACTCTCTTGACTTTATGGTAAATATGAAGCTACTGCCAGCAGCTTGCTAACTTAACATAGCACAAAGACTTGATGTGGGTGAAACAGCCAGCCTGGAATTGTCTGAAGGTAATAAAATCTGCCTACGAGCAACTCTACAATTTATAAATTATCAATTGCATCATGTAAAAACAACAATTCATCTTTTTACAGGAGGTTGTGTACCTGACTATTGCTTGGCTGAGATAAGTAACTTCCTGGAACATCCACTGGTTGCCTTGCAACAGCCAAGGCACATGATATATACATAGGAACCTTTTCTTTAATGAAATGTCAGCTGACAAAATGACAAGACTTAAAACTCTCTGAGAAACTCTCTCAGAATCCATCCATACTTCTGCACTTACAGTCTCTAGACCTATTTTCTGTCCATACTAACACTATCAAAATGCAGGAATTATGTAGCACATCATCAGTAACAATGTATTTAATGATTTCTGTCTACACACAAGAACAGTAAGTAGAAAGCACCTTTTTCATCACACAGTTGCTTTCTTTCCTGCCATAGCATAGAGTTCTTTTACATTTGCATGAAAACAATGTAATGCAAATCCCTACCTCGCTTGCATGTGAAACAATATGTTCGTTACCCCTGAGGGTGGCTACCAACCGCTGCGGTATCCCAGGAGCTGGTATGCATCTTCCACCACTACTGCTTAATTAGCTGACTGTGTGCCTGGAGACCCATTCCGCACTTGACCTTTCTGAAGGTAAGGCAAGCAGCACATGTTCAACAGACCAGAGGAAATGAGGTGAGGGGAAAGGTTTTCAAACTGGATAGTGGAGCGTGTGTATACAATCAGTGTGCATGTGTGGCTGTGTTATTCCTTGTTTTCCTCAAGAATGCATGGCTTCTTTAATGGGAATCTTTTCATTAGTGTGAAACAGAGCTTGTCAGTTGTATTACATTAAGCATGAAGCAGCATTACAGAGACACCGACACATCCTGAGAAAATACCAACATGCATCTGCAGAGGATATGAATACATTTTTTGGTACATGTTGTAATTTAGAGAAATAGCTTGTATGATACACAGTGATAGAACATGTTCCGGGAGAAACCTTGGGGAATGATGACATATTCAAAAGATGCAATGATGCAGGTAGAGGTTAGCACACATACCATTTTAGTATTTAATGAGATTTCCTCTGGAGGGGTTTTTGGCTGCCAAGTTTCAAATCATCTAGAGGGAAGTCTGCTCTTCTCATTGTCCATTGAAAAAAAGGAACATCCTCATTATCCTCCATAGCTTTGGCTCATTATGGGGGACAAGTCTAGATATAAATACTTGGTTCCCCAAATGGAAGAAGTCCTCTTGGAGAAACTGCACATTCCAGTAAGAAACAAGCTAGACATCTGTTTGCATTACATCTGGGAAATTCAAGTGACATCAGAAATGGCAACAAACTTAGTACATTATGTACAAGAATCCAATAAACATTATAAGATATACTTAATACTTTTTAGGTTATTTTTATTTTTGTCATTGATGCAGTTGTTGAAGCAGCCTATAGTTAAGTGCTTTCTTGGACACCGAACATTCGCAACTGTTTCTCTTCAGATGTGGTCCCCACAACACAGAAATTACAGACATGAGCTTGTAAAGTGTGTGAAGTTTCAGGTTTGGCGACACAGTAGAATTTCAATAGGTTTTCAAGGCAGGAGTTATAAAAGACCTCTACAGCTTTGGAGTCCAGAAAAGATTACTGCAAATCACATATTTGAATGCTGCCTCATTATTTCTTTTAATTAATAAGAAGGAAAATAAATAGACTCCATGGTAATAGATTTTTTGTGTACTGTTAGACATTTTTGATGAGTGGCAGAGGTGTATTTTACCTCAGAGTCTTTCAAAGTTCATGACATTTACAACAGCTTCTTTGGTATTTACTTTGAAGGTTAGAATGGTCAGTTAGACAGTTTTTAGTTACCCAGAACAAAGTGAGGCATTAATACAATATACACATCAATGAACAGTGTGTTTTCATTGCCACAACTGCATGTGTGTCATTGCAGCTGTTGGATGCCTTAATACAGCGAGAAAGCATAAAAATTAAAGCACAAGCATTTTTTAAAAAGAGGTGCAGAACTTTGAAAGCTGCCATTTTCCTCTCTGTAACATGCCTTGCATTCTGTTAAAGAGGCATGCATATTCCCCGAAAAGTTCTTCAACAGAAATCACATGGAAACTTATAACACATTAAAGTATTCATTGGGTATCATACGGTGGCAGCGGTGTGGGAGTTTTTTCTCAGTGCCAGGTCATCAAGCCCTAAGCATTCTTTGGGAAAAGTTATAATTAACTGTGCTGAGATAAAGTTGAGCTTATTGCTTAACTGGCGTGTCTGCTGATGACTCAGTAAGTAGCACGCAGCTGCAGATAACATTGGCAGGTTAATCAAAAAATAATGGAGAATATCGTAAATTACAGTTTAAATACTGCTGTTGGCCAACATGTACTGAAAGAGTACAGTTGGAATGCAAGTGAATATCAAATTTCCTTAATATGGAAGGTCACGTTGTCACATTTGCACATTAGCATAAGTGTGACTAGATAGGGCTGCTCAATTCACAGCCCTACAGCAGGGGATTAAACAATGAAAGAGAAACACCTATGGAAGAAGTCACAGACATTTTTCATACCCCAAGTACTGTTGCATCATTACCATAGCAGTTTAACTTGGCTGTTTCAGCCAGGGCGCTTTGCTTAGATTATCATAGATTCTATTATCATTTTAAAATGTCCTTAAATAACCTGTTAGAACAGTTAATTACTGAATGCATTGGTAAAATCTATTTATCCAGGAGGTACGTTAAGTCTTTACCTTCAAGCATCAAGCTGTAAAACATCAAAAAGACAAATATATTCATGAAAAATTATAATAATAATAATACATATGCCTTCACTTGAAGTTTTGTGTTTGAAATACTTTTGAACAAAAGGCAAGCTATTCTGATTTTCGATTGTGTGTTCAATTATGGTTAGGAAATGCTCAGATTCTACCATATCAAGAAAAAAGTGAAAAACCTAAAATGTTCCTGCTGCTGTGTTTCCGATTGCGGAAAAATAAATTAGCCATAAACATAAATCACTAAGCAATATTAGTCAGTGCCACCAAAGCAGTTCAGGGACTGATGTAGGGAGAATGTCAACATCTCACACTCATTAACCATACCATACTAACCATAATTCATTCATATTATTAGGATAAGTGAATGTTAAACCTAGACAACATGCCAGTGCTTACAGTTTCAAGAGTGCTGGAAGGTCAAATTGTGGTCGGTTCACAGTGAAAGATACATCTAAAGACCAATCAAATATTACCTTTGGACTTAATTTGAAATAATTGCAGAGGTCATCTTTGTTCTTAATCCTGTGCTGGTCTGGCATCTGTAATCTGTACAATAAAAAGGTCCACTGTGCATTTGCTGCCATATTTCACAGAACACAGATATGTCCAGCCTACATTTACATAATTTTATTTTATAAAATGTATTTTTTATTTTTTATTTTTTATTGCATTATTGCTACTTTTTGCATAGATCCTTTAGTTTTCTGCAATTTATTCCTCTTTTATGTCAAGCATTTTCGAGATTTCAGTAGAAATTATTAATGACAACTCTGATTGGCTTCAAGGTGCAAATTCAGGAGGTTAATCTAGCTGCTTAGCATGGAGACCTATTCAGAGAAAGCACAATCAAATCCATCTAAAGAGGAATTTCGAAAGTTAATGAGATCAATGACATGCATGGCAGCATTTGGTAAGGGACGTTTTGGCTCAATACAAACTTCTTTGTGCTGTCTTATATATTCGTTAAACTTTGGCCAAGAGATGTGAGTGAATGTCATGCTCAAATGTGCAGGTGAATTCCTAAATCACATAAAGTCTGTATGTAATTGTAGTATGAGAACAGAGCTTTACGGCTGGGGCAAGTTTAAAGTTTTGACATTGACAACTGTGTAGGCAAGAAAAACAGAAAAGATTTCACATAAATATATTTGAATTTAAGACCCTTTATTTTGATGATCACAACAAAAATACTGACACAGAAAGAGCTGAAGTAGAGTTCAACAAACCTTAATCAGTGTTATCTGTCTTACTATAGCTGTTATTTTTTCTTCTCAATTACATTAATGCAGCAAATTTGACAGGCTGATTTTATTATTCATTTGACATTTTGCTGGAACTTCATGTTGAGAACTCATTTGAACAGTAAAGCCTGTGGTTCATTTTGAGTGGAAATTATGAATAAATAAGCAATCTAGGCAATGAATATTCAAGCAATGTCATTAATGTGGGCCTGGTTTGGCTAAATGGCAGGAAGGCATTGGGATGATTGCTGGTTAATGACTTGGTTAATGAATTAATTCTGGTTACCTGTTGATGATTTCATATGTCATGTATGTGGTAAAGAAACTTGGGTTTTGTATATATATTTTTTAAAGAAATGGCACTTATCAGAATGACCAGACCCAAACCCCAATATTATGTGAAACCATTCACTATATAATTATATTATAATATCTGAGTATAGTATTCTATATTAATTTGTTTGTACATAGCTCAGTAAACTTGTCATTTAAATATTCTGTCGTAGATACCCTCATTTATATTTTTCTCCAGAGGTAGGCCATTTTAAAAACAGCTTTGTTTCTATGGCATTCTCAGTCCCACTTGAAGTCTTGTCCCACAGTTTCATAGAATTTTATATTAAATGGCCTATAAAACTCCTGCAGCTGCTCTATGACCTCCTCTTCGATCTGTACGTGAGTCCTGCCCTTGGATTTGCCGAGGCAGCGTGGCTGGCTGCTGCTCTCCGGTTTCTTCAGACAGGGGAAGCCTTTGGTTCGATTGAAGTAGAAGTGCTTGTCTGTGATTATTCGTTTCAGTCCTAAAAAGTCCTGAACGCGACCCATTTCCCCTGCCGGATCTGTGATCAGCCGCTCCCCGCTCACAAAGTGTATCTGCGAAAGGCGAAAGTACTGCAGCCAGTTCTCCAGGTGCAGAATGTACATCCCGATCCGAATGGCATTCCAGGAAGTGTCGACGAGACCCACACTTCTGTTCTTAAAGGCCAGCTCCTCGAACGTGGGGATGTCAGGCTTCTTGGAAAGAGTCTGTGTGTAATCGGAGATTGCTCTTGTCACTGGGTTACGCACCACAACAATCAACTTGGTCTCATGAGACATGCTGGAGATGCGCCTGGGTGCCTCTCTAGTGACAAAATAGCTTGGAGTCTTCTCTAATGTGATCTGGCTGTCTAGTGTTCGTGGCATTAGTCCCCTTGGGAGAGAAAGAAAAGAATAAAACACACGGATGAGTCAGCAAGAGTTGTTACATTCCTGTCCAGGAGCATTCCCACAAGCCTTACGTCTTATATGGATATCAGAAATACCAAATATTAAAAACAACCTTAGTATTAGCATGTCTTGTGAGGAATTAACATTTACTATACATTCAATTGTGTAACATTTAGGGCCTCAACAGCAAAACAACAATAAAGAAAGGACAAAAAATACTGAAACACAGGTTGTGTGCGTATGATATTTCAAATAAGAAGGCAAACTGTGGTGAAGTATGTTGTTTTCAGTGGCCCTCAGATCCGTAACTTATGTAAAAGTATTATTTTACTTTATATAGTAACATACAATATAAGAATGTAACTTAATATCTAAAAGTCCTGCATTCAAGACTTTAAGTATAATGACAAGTATTGTCAGCGAAATGTACTTAAAGTATTAAAAGTAATAGCACTCATAATGCAGCAGATTGACTCTTGTCAATGTTATCTTGTCTATATTGTTGCATTACTGTTACTGTAAGCAGCAATTTAATGTTGTAGCTGATCCGGGTGGTGATACTTAATTAACTTTTCCAGCTACTACTGTGTAATATGAATAACAATTTATCATACTTCATGTTCTCATGTTTTTTTTGTTTTTATTCTTCATTTGCAAAGTAACTAGTACCCAGTTGCAAAATAAAGAAGTAGTAGTTGAGCAGAAAGAACAATATTTGCTTCTTAATTGCAGAGGAGTAGAACTAGGAATTAGCAGAAATGGAAATACTCAGATTAATTACAAGTACTTAAGAACATTATTACAATACATACAAAAAAATCTAAAACACTGGTTATGTAATGAGCAATGTCAAATCCATAGACACCCTGGTAAACTAGAAAATACAGTTTTAGGACATTTTGAACCTCCTGCAGTGTCAAATAACGATATATGAAACCCAAATAAACACAATTTGTATATATTTGTTAGATATTCACTGGTGACAGCTTGTACAATCAAAACATGCATCATAATTATCATCATCATGCTGCCAAGATAATGGCTTTGCAAACTACAGGGAAATGTTTCTATTTGTCATATTTGTCATGTGAGTTTTCCTTCCCAGGGTAATATGTCATGTTTTGGCACTTTGGTTCAATAAAAGTTGATTAATGAGCATCTGATGTTGGCTGTTGAGACAACGAATGCATCAGCCACAATTCAGAGATCATCCATACTTTGTTCTCTATTTCCTTTATTTTCCTTAAACGGGAAAAGGGGCTGTGCTGTAGTGTTAGCACAATATTTCTGCAGTTTGGTGAGAATAATTACAATATAGTACTATGAAACTGGTCCTTTACTTTTATAATTACAGAAGATACAGTACCTGAATTCCTCTATTTCACAGCATGTGAATCGGTTACCGCACAGTTCTGATGATTAAATACCACACTTTATTTATTATTACTGAGGAAAGGCTTCGATTAAAACCTAACCTTTCTCAAAGTTTTCTCTCTCAAGGTAGTGGTAGCCATAGGTTACCTCTGAAGTCCTGGAAATATTGATCCATTTAGCTTTATTTATGAATCCTGAGTTGTTGGCTTGGGTGCCTCAGGGCCACTAGGCAACTATTAATCTTTTATGAGAACAGCACCTTTTCAAGCAAACAGCTTTGCTACACACTAACAAACTTGCAGCCATTTTCCAGGAGGTGCAGAATCTAAACAGATCTTTGGTTGTGTGCTGAGGAAACTGTCTTCGCTATCTGACTCGTCAATTCCACACATTCTCACCATCTTCAGCGATGAAGATTTGCGTTTGAGAGGATCCCTTATGTGCTGGTTGAAAACTGCAACTCGTCATATCGCAAAACTGAGCTGACAGTGTGAACACAGACAGTGAAAGGTCACAGATGGCTCTTCTTAAAATAGTATATATACTGTATATACAGCACTATTCTGTAGACAGCATGTTCACACATCCGGAAGGGGGGGTACTGGGAATAAGGTGCTCATAAAAAGATAATTATGTTTAATTAAGGGGAGATCCCACACCTTCACTAACTCTGGTTGTTTTATGTTTGGATACAGAATACAAAAATCCAAGTCAGCCTGTGCAATACACGCTAAGTTACCTTGAGTTATTGATTTTTACAGCTGTTCTGTTTGTTTACTCCCAGTGTGTCTCTGCACCAGATATCTCACATGACTGTTACACAAAAGTTATACAACTCTGAGGGGGCTGATATAGACTAGATGCAAATTGAAAAAACTGATGCATCTCAAGTTGGGAAGCCAGTAGCACCGTTATGATAAATGTTGTAAGTGTAGTGTTAATTACATTAAGGTGCTACTTTTCCTACAAAAGACACTCTGCTGCTTTGACATGATTCCCTCTGTCCCTCTGAGTTATGGGAACTACCACAAAGGGGATTTTGAGTACTATGCAAGATGTTTTTATATCTGTGGACAGATTTCGTCAACACACACATTAACAACAGTAACACACACACACACACACACACACACACACACACACACACACACACACACAAATGGTTACGCAATATTGTTTTTGTTACACTACTACTGCCAATAAAGTATATTGAACTGAAGTGAATTATTTAATGATCTTCCCATCACAGCATGTCTGTGCTTTCCAAAATCAAAAAATGAGAGATCTGGTTAGATTCTAGTTGGCATATGCTGACTGGATCCTTTTTATGACCAGGACAAGGGACAGGAGAATATAACAGCAGAGATGAGGAGTGTGACAGACAGATGAGACACCATAAGAGCTACTGGAGAGGTGAAGAAGGGGAGGGTATCAGATAGACAGACAAGTTAACACAGTTTGTCACAGTTCAAATTTGTCACAGTTCAAAAGGGAACACTCATTGCACAATAGAAGCAGAAACTAGGAGACCAGGGTTTTCACAAGCATTAGGAACATACATCAATGTCTTATTTTCTCTTTTTACTCTTGCTACTGGAAATAAAAATTATAATAAGATTGAATGAGAACTCAAATGGCCGCAGAAGAATAGGTGGCATCCATTGTGCCCAGGAAAGCATTATTCCCCTCATTGGAAAAATGAACAGCTGTTTCATTGTTTGCAATCTTTTGAAATGACTTGTTTAGTATCAGAATGTATCCAATAACATTTGGAAAGTCTGGAGGAGCAGAATAATTAAAATGATTTTATTGGATTTGTGTGTGTGGAGAACCAACAAGAAGTTAGCCGGCTTGCTCAGCAGACTTCTACAACATACATTCGCTACTGGCGTGGCTGGAAGAGGACTCTAGTGCACATGCTGTGTGTGCCCAAAAACACAGAAGCGTAAGTAAGCCATTATTTTCAGTGTATGCGTCTAGTAAGCATTTTTTATATGAATAGGGCTCCATCTTTGAACGTGGTTTACAGTTCTTAATACACCTATGCTCCAGGACCTCCACGACAAGATGTGTCTTGTGACTAAGACTAAAAAATGTCTATGCTGGCAATAATAACCATCTTACAGTTTAAGTAACTTTAGCATTGTTGGCAAGGTTCTGGGAAAGTAGTAGCCTGCAGGTGCCTTTGTGTATCTCTGCTTATCCAAGTAAAACGTAAATGACAAAAAACTGCCCTAGACTAAACTTCCCCTAGACTGACACAGAAGCATTTTCTGATCTGACGCCATATTGGCAGGATGGCGAAATTTGCCTGTGCCTTGCAAAATCACACAAAAAGGGAAAATATAATGTTAGGGTTAAAATAAAATTCCTAGAAGTCCCTCAAATGCATCCCGCACATTGACAGTATATATATATAATGGACAGAGCTTCCGGGTCTGTAAAGTGAAGCCAACGCCAAGTGTCTTAAAAGCTGCATTCTATGTAAAGTCTGAAAGGGGGAGCTCCATTGCCATAAAAAATACCATGCACCATGCACTCTAATGGAGAAATTACCAGACTTCTCACTTTATTTATTAGCTCAGTAAACAGTTTCTTAACAGGTTTATGGTCTCAATGGCTAGTTTCAAGTCTTCTTCCATACAGTATGATGTTCATTTAGTAAATGATGTTCCAATTTAGAGTAAAAAAGATGATAAAGCTGTATGCTTTTGGGCATGGCTACCTTGTGAATGACAAGTAATACTCAGGGAGTCAGTCCAGCCCGCTGCATGAAACTCAGATCAGACTGTTGATGAAGCAAGATGCTGTTACTGTGTTGCATATTTCTCACCTAAAATCTTTTCAGAAACATATTTTAGTGTACTGTTTCGCTGTAATACGAGATTGTGTGTGACCAGGTGAACCGCCATTGTTTCCTGCGATGGACGAAACTGGGCAGCTCAACTCGCAGTACGTCACCTCTGCTGGCTCGGACTAACTGTCAAGGCAACGGCCAAAACGCCAGACTCGAGGCTTCAAAACGGTACTCCACAAACCAATGGGTGACGTCAAAATAGTTTCACACTTGATCCTAATCCTGTCGTCGTTGATTGGCAAAACAAAGGGTTGTTTAACTAGCTGTAACTGCAGCCAAGGAGAACAAGGTACAGTGCAATGATCAGAGGATGTTTGATAAAGGATGCCTTTATTTTTATTGAACTCTGCCATTTATAAGGGATGCTTTCATGTCAGTGGCAGCAGTTTGGACCACCAAGTTTGAAGTCGCATGTCTTGAAGTGATGTTAATGAGGAACACTGATACCTGTGTAATATCTACTAAATATTGTTTTGATCTAGCATTTTGTATTTGGGCTCATATTCGTGTGCATTTATCACAAAATAAGCATTCATGTATGAGCAGACTGATTTTAATGACTGCATATTAATCTTTAATGGTCATTTTATGTATATATATATATATATATATATATATATATATATATATATATATATATATGTGTGTGTGTGACATGTAATTAAAGTGGTGAGCAGCTATTTACGTTTTCTGATAAATAATTTTCTTTTCTCATTTAATGAGAAAAGCAGGATTCCTGCTATCGTTATTGA